AAATTCTTTAAAATCATTTGGTATGATTTTTTTATAGGCCGCCGGATGCGGTCGTATATTGTTGTCATCTTGTTTGTCTGTCCGTCCTTGTGTCAGTACGTCTGTCTGTACGACCATTTCTTGTGAACGCAACTCCTCCTAAACTAATGATGAGATTTTCATGAAACTTGCTCAATGTCACGATTACAATGGGTAGATGTGCATGAAGGGGCGATTTTTTGGTTCGTTGATTTTTGTAAGATTTATGTCATTTTCAACTTTGTACCTGTAGCTTGCTCTTAGTGGAGCTTTGTGACACAACTCCTAAACTAATGATGAGATTTTCATGAAACTTGCTCAATGTCACGATTACAATGGGTAGATGTGCATGAAGGGGCGATTTTAGGGTTGATTGATTTTTGTAAGATTTATGCTATTTTATCTTGATATTTATATTTTGTGGCAGCATATATTGTGTCGACGGCACTCTTGTGGCAGCATATATTGTTGAGATTTGTTTTGTCAACAGTAATCACAGTGGTGGTGCAGCATCACCAGTTTGACCAAAACCGATGGGTATACAGTGTTTTTGTAGATCGTCTTATGTCTGAATTACTCTCGGAATAATATCTTGCAGGTGGATCCTTGGCTGTGATGACCCGACATGGCTGTATATAGCTGTTGTAGGTAATGGTGATGATTTCAGGGATTGATATGGTTATGGCAGTGATGGTGAATGGTTTCATGGAAATGAAGATTGTGGGGATTTATGATGACTGTACCGTACTGGATCTGTGTTAACTGATTACATCGCGTGGCTGCCCTTGATTGGAGGATGGCTTGGAGGACTGTAGCTGTAGGTTGCCGTTAGGTATATTTATACCAAGTTTAAGTATGTTTTATTAATCAAGTAATCGTGAGGAATGATAAATACTGTGAATGTTTTGTTTAAAAATTCTTTAAAATGATTTGTGTATGATTTTTGTGAGATTTGTTTTGTGAACAGTAATGACAGTGGTGGTGCAGCTTCACCAATATTACCAAAACTGATGGGTATACAGTGGTTTTGTTGAAAATCTGAAGTATTCAGTCGTCTTGGATTGAAATTTTAAGGTGGACTCTGGGATGAGACGACCTGGCCTTGCTGAACTGGAGCTGTTGTAACTGAATACCTGGATAGGCAGTACTGTATTGGAGGGAGGTGGCTGCAGTTATAAGGTTTAGGGCGTGTATGGTGCACCTGGTTTTGTTGATTTGCATTGAAGATGATCTGTTTCCTCATTTGGCCTCACTCCTTTCCCTTCCCACAAAGACCCTTCAGACTAAACGCAGTCAATATATCTTAATTTAATCACAGTTTTTAAAGCTGTACATCTGTATTTTAGATAGTAGGCGTTACCCCCGAGGTCCTTGGGGGGGGGTCAGACCCACATCTCATATACAAAATTGGTTTCCCTTCCCACAAAGCATCTTCTCTATTTCTCTTATAAGGCCACATTTTTGTCCCAGACCCACCCCTAGGGCCTTGGGGGCCGAGACCTCCATCAATACGAAACTCGGTTGCCCTACACTCAAGATTTCTTCTGCCTAAATTTAAATAAATTCTAGAGGTGCTTTTATTGCAACTTGAAAGATGACATTACTGTAAATATTTTTATGACTTTTCAAGAATGGGATCAAAATATCATCAATTGAAAGTTTTTCTTGATTAAAAAAAAAAATTCAAACATTGATTTATTCAAATTCATTAGTTTTACTCAATAACTCTGTATGCTGCATACAATCATAGTTCCATTGTCCTCTCTAACACCTGTACTGTAAACAGGCGCGCACTACCCTACTAATACCTGCACTGGTGTATTGGTCCCGCTAACAAATTGGGAACTGTGATTATTTGTAGTATGCTACACATGTATTAGTTTTACAAATGATAATTGATAAAGAAAAGTTACTATTGATCTTGAAGTAGCAAATCCTTTCCAAATTAATTTTCTGGTTATTTTGCCTTTCAAATGGGAAAATTATTTCTAAATTTACTGCGAAATGATTCGGTAAATTCAAGGTAGACCGTAACTGTTTTTCATCAAATTTTCATGAAAAAGGAACAATTTCTGAAAGGGATTATTTATATAAAATTCCTTAAATTTAGGCCATATTTATTGTTTATAGCTTTATAGTCAGATAGCCCCTTTAAACTCTACTCTTTAGTCCCTTAGGTTCAGACCCTGTAGACCCTATTCCTCAGTGCCCTTTAGTCAGACCCTTTAGACCCTAATTCCTCAGTCCCTTGGAGTGAGCCATGGCTTGGAGGATTGTAGCTAAAGGTTGCCGTGAGGTTCATATGTACAAAGTTTAAGTATGTTTTATTTATCGAGTAATGGTTAGGAATATTAAATACTGTGAATGTTTTGTAGAAAAATTCTTTAAAATCATTTGTGTATGATTTTTTTATAGGCCGCCGGAGGCGGTCGTATATTGTTGTCATCTTGTTTGTCTGTCCGTCCTTGTGTCAGTACGTCTGTCTGTACGACCATTTCTTGTGAACGCAACTCCTCCTAAACTAATGATGAGATTTTCATGAAACTTGCTCAATGTCACGATTACAATGGGTAGATGTGCATGAAGGGGCGATTTTTTGGTTCGTTGATTTTTGTAAGATTTATGTCATTTTCAACTTTGTACCTGTAGCTTGCTCTTAGTGGAGCTTTGTGACACAACTCCTAAACTAATGATGAGATTTTCATGAAACTTGCTCAATGTCACGATTACAATGGGTAGATGTGCATGAAGGGGCGATTTTAGGGTTGATTGATTTTTGTAAGATTTATGCTATTTTATCTTGATATTTATATTTTGTGGCAGCATATATTGTGTCGACGGCACTCTTGTTTGAGATTTGTTTTGTCAACAGTAATCACAGTGGTGGTGCAGCATCACCAGTTTGACCAAAACCGATGGGTATACAGTGTTTTTGTAGATCGTCTTATGTCTGAATTACTCTCGGAAATATCTTGCAGGTGGATCCTTGGCTGTGATGACCCGACATGGCTGTATATAGCTGTTGTAGGTAATGGTGATGGATATAGAAATGGTTATGTAGACATGTTACTGCAGTAGTAAATGTATGGATGGATATAAACATGTGACTAAAGCAGTAAATGTGTGGATGGTTATATAGAAATGTGACTGCAGCAGTAGATGTATGGATGGTTATATAGAAATGTGACTGCAGCAGTAGATGTATGGATGGTTATATAGAAATGTGACTGCAGCAGTAGATGTATGAATGGTTATATAGACATGTGACTGCAGCAGAAGATGTATGGATGGTTATATAGACAAGTGACTGCAGCAGTAGATGTATGAATGCTTATATAGAAATGTGACTGGAGCAGAAGATGTATGGATGGTTATATAGACATGTGACTGCAGCAGAAGATGTGTGGATGGTTATATAGACATGTGACTGGAGCAGTAGATTTATGAATGCTTATATAGACATGTGACTGGAGCAGTAGATGTATGGATGGTTATATAGACATGTGACTGGAGCAGAAGATGTATGGATGGTTATATAGAAATGTGACTGGAGCAGAAGATGTATGGATGGTTATATAGAAATGTGACTGGAGCAGAAGATGTATGGATGGTTATATAGACATGTGACTGAGGCCTCATCTTCTATCCTCTCATTCTTATACAGCTTCTAACCGATGACCTATTTTTGAGATCTCTGTGAATATCATTTTCATACAGCTTCCTGCAAATGGCCTCTTTTTGGGATCTCATCTTTCATCCTCTCATTCTCATACAGCTCCTGGCAAATGGCCTCTTTTTGGGATCTCATCTTTCATCCTCTCATTCTCATACAGCTTCTGGCAAATGGCCTCTTTTTGAGATCTCATCTTCTATCCTCTCATTCTAATACAGCTTTTGGCTGATGGATTTTTTAGCAGATGAGCAAGAAGGCTGGTGGTCTTTTTTGTTGGTCTGATCTGCTAACCTCTCATTCTCATACAGCTTCTTGCCAATGCCCTCTTTTCGAGGTCTCGGAGGAAATAAATGAGGACGAAAATACTTCAATAGAGAACTATTTAGAACAGGAACCTAACTGGGATTTTTTGGGGGACGCTGTTTTGTATAGTGAAGATAGTTAATCAGAATTTTGTGAAGTGTATCTCTTGCTTTCTTAGTGTATTCACAGTAAATCTTCAGACAATGTTGAGAGATGTGAAAAATCTGAAGTTGTACATCAAGAAAGTCATGAAATCTGTCGCATCCAAAACAGGAAAACAAATTTAAAAAATGGATAGGGATAACGGCGATCAGTTTTGTGGTGTTTGTTATATCAGAGTTTGCAACTTTGCACAACATATAGAAAGAAGTCGACAAAAACTTGAAGGTAACTTCTATGTAAAAGAGATACAAAAAGAAAAAGACCCAAAAAAGGAAAAACAGACTCCATACTTTGCTCAGAGGCATGTTTAATCATGAATTTAACATGGCATCAATAAAAAGAGGAGACATTATCCTTGAAAGAAGGCCATCATCCTTTTTTCAGTTGCCCATGACGAAATTTTTTTCTCTGGGTGGGAAAAAAATTGAATGCAGAAGTATCTGAAGACTTGTTCGGCAAGGACAAAGGATGTTGAACAAAAACCTCGTCAGAACTGTTAACAGCATCAGATTTTCAATTTTCAAAAGAATTCAACCAATCACAAGTAGGAATTTTATGAATGAAGTATTTGGGAAAACAAAGATGGACAAAATAGGAAAGACTGCAAGAAATAACGTTATCATTATCCAATTAGGAAACCAGTGGATGGAGAAGAATTAGGGAATAATTTGAAGAGAGGCAGCTATACATCAGAAATTGTTCAACTTATTGGTAGATTACTGCTTAAGCTAAAAACTCTGAAACCGATTCCATTAGGTCCTAATGGTAAAGAGTCAAGTCTGAAACCTGAACATTTTGATGCAATTGTGGAGGCCACCTCATTAGTTGCATCTCCTTCAGCCGAAGATGACGACAATCTAAAGCACCCAAGCAATGCAATTAAACTTGGCTTTGACATCAAACATGATTTCTGGAAAATTTGATCGAGCAATAATACAGGGAGACCAAAAAGCATATGGTGAAGGGGAAGTCCTCCTGCAGGCAATGGCAATCTACTGGGCAACAGGAGTAACAAAATGGCCAAAGTTCTTCCGCAGCAGAGGATGTATAGGAAAAGTTTGAGCACTTGAAAGCTGCCATTGCTGATTTTGATTTGTCTAAAAAGGACCTGGAAACTGTTTGTAGAATGTAGGAGGTTTTTTCTGCAAGTCTACTCCTGTACAATCAAAGGCGACCTGGAGAACTCTAGGCTATTGGGTAAGATTTTATTCAGTTATGGAGCTGAATTTGAAAAGCTGAGGAAAATTAATCGCTCATAATCCACTGCTGAAAGCGCTATCAGTCATAATAAGTTCCTTGTAAATATTCTCTTGTTTCTTTTTCATATGGACATGTGTAAGATCAAAATATTCCATCAAAGGATACAAAAATTTGGGTCAGAACCGACGCTTTCAAATTTTTTTGACCAAAAATAATGTAACCAAGGGTAAAGGCATCTACCCCAGTTTCTATCTTACATAATGTACATGCGAGTTACCAAGTATTAGAAATGGCATCAAGGGTCAAGAGAGCAGTGGGTTATGCATAACTCAATGTTCATGTAACCTTGATAGTGTCAGAACAGTTGTATGTAAAGGTGTTTAGATGCAATAGTTTTAAGTCATTAAATAGAATGCAGCCAGAAAATGTGCAAAATATCCCATTAAACCATTTACAGATTGACAGACTACAAAGAGTGACAAGAGGAGGAAGATGTCAAACATTTGATTGGAGATTGTACAGCATTTGAAAGGAAACTGTTAGAGAACCAGGTGGTTATCACAGTGTGAGGAAAGGTATTTATTTAATTTGTTATATCTGAATTGTTGGAATGAATGGTGCATTGGTTAAACCTTTAATTAGGCACAAAGCATTACACCAAACTGAAACTATAGTACCACAGTAATAAGAAGGCCTGTGCATATAGTTTTCAGTGGATAATGATTACAAAATTTTCCAAACAGTGTCTGTGGCAACCAACAAATTTGTAGTATTACAACGCAAGTTGTTGCATGACAAATGTCATCATGATGCTAAAATACACATTATAAAACAGCAACATGTTCAATGCCATTGACCTCAAGGGTTCATGGAACACCTACTTTTTTCCCAAACCTTTACATACCTTGTATACAACACAAGTTCATGACTGCAAAATGTAGTATGTTTGAATGTGGTGTCTGATTAAATATATACCATTTATTTAACTTAATCCAATATGTTAGTAAAAGCCTCATTCAGTGGTTACTGAATAAAAAAAGTTCCCTCTTTTCAGACCAGAAGAGGAGTACCTATTATAATTCCAGCAGATGCAAGGAAACCGACTGACTACCTCACAAATGAATGGGTTAGAAGAGATGCAGGGATCCTGGAAAAGAATCTTTGGTGTTTGCCTGAAAAGGTATCATCCACATGTTTAAAAAATTCATTGATGATACCACTTCACATATAAAAAAAAAAATCCATAAAATATTTTCTGATTTTACAGTATGTCTGACATTTGTTTAAATGCTGCAGCTGTGCTAGATTTCTGGGTGGTCTCTGTTGCAGGGGAAGGGGTTGTCTGTGCATGTGATTGCCATGGTTACCTACTGAAAAAATGCAAAAAATGCAAAAAAAATGCAAAAATACTACTAATTCCAACCTAACACAACAACTTTATAGAAGAAATTTGTTTCTAAACACCTATCTTACAATCAACAACACTGTCATATTAACAAACCACTTGCATCTCGGCAAATTCCAACACGGAAATCCTTCATAATATGACCACATGTAAACACTATGAAAATTTCACTTCCTGTAAAGCTGATTTTTGGTGTGTAGCCACAGATTCAAAACTGCTCAAATAGTAATCTCCAACACAAAGCTAAAGTATTATTCTGAAAAATAAATGAAACCCCACATTGTCCACTTCAATATGACAAGACCAATTTTAACAAGGATTTATTTTTCAAATTTTAATTAAAACCTTTATGATGGGATGATCTAATGAACAAAAATATCACCATGGCCACACTGCGAAAATAACCTGGAAATAACTACATAAGAATAGTCAATATATGATGACAGTTTTGATGGAATGCATGCATTGACACTGTCTATATTCAGTGTCACAATTTCCTTTTTTATGACACTTGATAACTATCCTTTAACCTTTATTGCTTATCTTAGGTGACCATCAAGGCCACTAGGCCTCTTGTTCCACTTTATTTATCAACCTGTAACATCTTCTATCATAAACCATTTGTCAGTTGCTATGAAACTTGGCATAAATGGATCAGTAATTGGATTTTGAAAATTTGCTTCTATTATCAGCAGAATTTTTTTGCCTTGTTTTGCAGCCGCAAAAACGTTGTTTCCCCAAGCCAAAATGTGAGTTTTTGTCCTAAAATGATGCAAAATCCAAGAATATTTTCCCAATTTTTCATAAAACACTACTTTATTTTATTAAGGGATAGGCTGCTGTTAAATCAAGGTGGAAAAAACACCATGTTTTGTATACCTGTATATAAGAATGAAGAATAGCCAATTACAATTTTAAGGTCAGAGGTTAAAGTTGGGGGCAGAGAAATTTTACGGCCAAAGGTCAAGAAACAGACAAATCGAAAAATTAGATTGCTGTATTTTCAGGACTGAATTTCAAAATTATGGACAGAAAATATCATTTAGGATGAAAACTCGCATTGTTCACCAGCTTTTCACCTTCTAGGTATGGGTTGGAAGCCCATTGGTTCAGGGATTTTTCTTGGTCAAGTGTTCGAAAATTACTTTTGAAAATTTTGATTGCTGACATATCATCTGCCAGCAGTGTTTACACATAAGTAGGGTTTGTGCAGAGCCTGAAAATCCCTTGAATTGAGAATTAATCCTGAAACTCCTTGAAAATCTTGATATGTCTTGAAAACATTGATTTAGCCAAGAAATTTTAATACTGTATTTGTGTAAGGAAACAAAATTAAATTGCCCATATAAATAGAAGTCGGAATGAGTCACCTTACTTATTCAAATGCTCTGTTTTTGTTTCAGGTCTTTGATCCAAATGAAATGGAATGGGTTATCAATCATATGGGCCACTCACTTGACAATCATTAGATACATTACAGGTAACTTGAAATACAGAATAAGATGCTCACACATACAATATACCAAGACTGTGATCCATTTAAACATTGTCCATTTTGTTTTTGAAATCTCACCATTATGCAGAGTAGTGGAAATGTCACACTCCAGGTTTCCAATGGGAAATTTTGGTTCAGTCATACGAAATGTTTTAGTGTGAAGTGATCTGGTCAAATTAAGTGACACAGGTTTTCATTCTATTTTGTTCTACTACTACTCCATGGGGCTGATTTATACCCTTTTTTTGTAGATTTTTTCATAGATAGTGATATTAGTTCTTGTTAAATGTATAGGATTTACATTATTTCCCTTCAAAAACAGGCTTCAACTTGTGTTACTTTTTCTTATGTGATAAAAATGAGATGATTTTAATTTTTTGATAAAATGCAATACTTCTGGCCAAAAAAGTTGGTGGCAATATTTGTCATTTCAACAAAAAAACAAAAAAAAAAAAAAGTGAAACTCCACCGATACAAATGTTATTTAAAACCATCGCGAAAAAGTTTGCTAGTTACAAAAATATCAGGTATCGGGTGAGAACAAATGCATTAATTTATTCAGCCATAGATATTTTTCAGGAGACTTTTGAAATTGATGTTAAATATTGCTAGATAAATAATATATAAACTCTTATTTTCTTTGAAAAAAATTCCCATAATTCTTCTTCTTTTGACAATATGAAGTGCTGAGCTACCATTCATAGGAATTATATTTCAAATATATATTTATAAATATGTGTAACATTGTTATGCTACAGGTGCACAGATGATGTCTTAGAAGAAACACAAATAGCCAAGATACTACTACTACAAGACCGTGTGGGAGTTTTGGACAAATCCCTACAAGACATCCAAATAGAAGGTTTGTTTCCTTTGAATCAGATTTATGGTGCTTCAATTCAACTTAAAAATGAAAATTTTTACTAATCCAAAGAATATTTCAAAAACTTTTTTTTTATCTGTACATCAATCTTGAGTCCTAGTATTGTTTTCTGCTCTGACACACCAGAGAATCATTACTACTATACTAAAAGTGTGAATTAAAATATTTTAGTAATGAAAAGTGCATAAGTTCTAATGAAAACAGATTCTTTCTTGGACCACCATCATCTTTTCTGAATAACCTTAAAACACTATTTTGTTATCACCAGGCTTAGTGATTGCCTCTTACCTTCATGACCTAGTCCCTGTATCTTTTTTATATATTTTCACATTGCTGAAGGACTGTAAATGACTATCTGAACAATATTGGTTTAAAACAATTAAGTAGAAATAAAATGACTGAAGTGGCCATTATTATATGAAGATATCTTTATTACAGACCTTATCCAGGAGTCATCATTAGCTGAAGGGGATGAATATGAGGATTTACACCATATGACATCACCTGACATTGTGGGTGCCATTGAGCTATGTGATTATTCTGTGTTAAATATCGCCGAAAAATTTTATGATGAATATATATTGAAGCCCATTAAAAAACGAAAGTCTGCTGCTCTTCAATAAACAGAAAAATACCTTGACCCATTTTCAAGGTCACAGGGATAAATGTTTTAATAATCTTGGAAATGATTTCTTCTTAATATCCAAAAAAAGTTCTGGTGAGCGGCCCGTAGTATGCTGGAATGAATTATGTTCATGTTATCTATATTTTCACTTTTTAAAGGTCATAAGGGTCAAATTTGTTAAAATCTTTTAATGACTTCTTGTCAATTACAAAAAGGTCAAGGCTGTTAAAATTGGTTTTTCAATGTTAGTGGATGAAGGACAATCGTTTTGTTCAAATGATTGACCTTGACCTATGTTAAAGATCTTTTTGGTTAAGCGAGTTTAGATTAAATTTTTTTTAATAAGCAATAGGTTCGGAATAATAGCATTTGTGTAGTAGCATGTATAAAGAGTGATTTTTAGATTTGCAGAAAATGTTTCTATGACCAAACAGTATCTTTGTATGCTGTAGAGTAGTTGAGAATGCCCATGGGCCTCCTGTTTATAAACCATTGGCAGGGTTGTTATAACTTTAATTAAACAGCATTTCATACAAACAGCACTTCATACTAGATAGTAAAGAGTTGGAAAGAATTTCTTGCATTTTGCCCATCTATTGTAAATTAATATACATCTTTTACTTCTTTTGAAAACCCCTGAGCCAATTTTAATGAAATTTGGTAGATATTTTCATGGCCAATGGAATGAAGTACAATGTCTCCGAACTAGGGGACTTTGGCAGTGTCGAATTGCATAAAATTTTCAAAATCTCCAACACTCAGATATGGAAGAATCAAATACTTTTCATAGATAGAAGGGTTTTTGAGATGCTTTAACCCAAATTATGATTTTCACGATCCTTACATTTTCCCGTGGGGAGGGGAATTAAGTCAGCTCATATAGATTTTTTTAGAATCCATAATATAGGATGACCGTTAATTATGTTTATGGAATTCAGGTGACTGTTAGACCATTGGGCCTTTTCTTATGTCAAGACACTGTCATGCAGTGTTGAAAGTTTGGTTGAAGAATTAGAAGATTTGATATGAGTTATGTTGCTACCAAATAGTTCTACATTTTTTGAAATTCTTTTATGGTGTCCAGATCTGGAAAAGTAAGTTTTCAGTTTTTGTCATTTTTACATCATCTGACCGTGGGTAAGGTTTTGTATTTGTTAGACTTTGAAAAAGTATTTGATTCTATCAAATGGAATTTTGTCAAAAAAAGCTCTACACTCCTTCAATTTTGGGCCCTCTCTCCGCCATTGGTTAGAAATTTTATACAAACATTCAAAAAGTTGCATAATAAACAATGGCCATCTCTCTAATTTAGGGTGTGGTTGTCGTCAAGGTGACCCACTCACCATATATTTTTGTAATAGTGGTAGAACTTTTACCAATAGCGATTAAAGCTAACAAGGATGTAAAAGGTATTATTATTAATAACAGGGATCTATGTTTGATTCTGTATGCTGATGATGCTTAATTACTAATGGATGGTTCTGAAAAATCTCTCAAATCAGTTGTTAATTTGTTAAAACAATTTGCTAAAATCATTTCAGGGTTAAAAATAAATTTACATAAATCAAGTTTATATTGGATTGGAAATAAAAAATTTTGAGAGGAACATGTATGTTTTTGGAAAGATGCAATTAAGTCTCTTGCAGAATTAGTCAGAACCAAAAACTCTTGATGAGCATCTTGGGGAAATTATCTTTAATCTGTCAACATTTGAATCTTTTAGACATTTCACACAATGGAAACAACATGGATTAAAGACTATATCTGATATTTTTGATAATCATGGTAATGTTAAAAATTTTATTGAATTCCAAGGAACACCTGGTTTACACTATTTAAAATATTATGCACTAGTCAGAAAAGTAGATAGAAAATGGAAACAAGAATATAGGGAAGAATTTCTTAATGGAATAAATGTTAGGCCATTAAAAAGAAAAGACATACTTTCAATGATGTTATCAAAAACCAATTCCACATTTTTATATTCCATGTTTACTGCCAAATAAAATTAAAAGCCAAGAGAAATGGCAATCAGTATTAAACTTTCAAACATCTCCAATGGATTGGAGTAGTTTATACAAGAATGTATCCAATTATACACAGGAGACAAAATTACAAACATTTCAGTATAAGATATGTCACAGGATCCTACCAACCAATGATTTATTGTACAAAATGCAGATTGTTCCCAATAACAAATGTACTTTCTGTCAAAGAGAACCTGAAACAGTGGAACACATCTTTTCTAAATGTTTTTATTCAGTACAAATTTTTGAGGTTTACCACTGGTATTCACACTATGATCCAATTGACCTATATTATTTTAGAGAAATTGACATCTTGTTTGGCAATCAATGGTTCAGTAAGTTTTTAAACCTCTTTCTCCTCCTCACAAAACATCACATATACTACAGTCAAGTTAATCATTTAATACCAAACTTTTTGGCACGTAAATCTATTTTCAAAAAAGTAATGACTGTTGAAAAATTTATTGCCCAAAAGAACAACAGTGTTGGATTTTGAGCAAAAATGGGGAATTTTCCAGGTCTTCTTTGAGATAATATATTTTAATTTTCATCTACTGGTATCAAAGTTCTTCAGTTTTTTGTTTTTGAGGTGTTATCATTTAGGCAATAAAATGGATTTATGTCCCTTAAAAGTCTCCTTTAATCAGAAGAAATAGAAACCCCAACCTTCCCCCTAAAGGCCTCCATCAGTCCAAAGGTCCTTGTTTGTTATTGCAAGATATTTAGTGTGCGTTATGTATGAAAGGTGTGTGAAAATTTTTATGTGTGAAAGGTGTGTGAAAATTTTTATCAACTTTTATAAAACAAAACTATTTTATTATATTATATTATATGAACTGTTTGAAAGTGCTGTGAAGAAGTTGTGAAAAAAGAGATAAAAAAATAGACTGTAAATATTTATATTTTGTACGTATGAATGGTGTGTGGTGTGCGAGAACCCTTCTGTGGAGAGGGCATCATTTGTAAGGGACTGATCCCAGGGCCCCAACCCTGGCAGTCTCAATTATCGCTGGAATAATAAAATATTTTTGTAAAAAAAAAAGAACGGTTTTGTAGTTTTTAGATATCTGAGGTGTTTTTGTCCATTTGGCGATACCGGAGTTTAATTCGTAAATTCTTGGAAGACTTGTCCATAATTGTGGGCTTCAACCACTGTTGTATTCAAGAAAATGACGGTCAGGAATATCTGAGGCTATTCGTCTGGTTATCAATAATCTGAGGTGATTCATCCATGACGTCTAGGATGACTTGTCCATAATTCTGGGCTTAAATTACTATTAAATTCAGGAAGTTGCCGACTGTTATATCTGAAGTGAATCGTCCAGTAGACAATATCAGAGGTGATTCATCTGCGACGTTTGGGATGACTTGTACCTAATTGTGAGCATTAGCTGTTCCAAACTGTCCGTGAAGTCTAAAATGACCTGTCCATAATCACCATACTTTAACAAAAGACACAATTTATAATTCATTCTCTCATGAAAACTTTGACAAATATATTGTGTTGGAAAAACGTCAATTATCATTTATTGGAAACAGTATTCCTGCATGATATATCTTAATATCTGTTCCACAGGTGGTGTAATTTCTTTTTTTTTTCGTATCAACAAAAGTGATACGGGGTGCACCTCGTATATTTGGATTAATATCCACACATGTATGGTTTTAAAAAGGTGCACCACAAAAGTGTTCTTTGTACTTTTTGCAGCTCACATGTCGAAATATGCTCAACTGCCTCTCCAACCGTACGTGCGTGTGTACAGTGAGCTGCTCAGTCAAAAAATACTCGTATATAGCTCTTCCATGCTGTGAGTGTGGTGTGAACCAGTTTAGTACTTCCCTGTAACTCTCTAGGCATTGTGAATGTGCAGAGCGCTGCTCATCCAAAAAAATAGCTTTGTGTAACTCTCCCAGCCAGTGAGTCGGTGTGTGTGAGGGAGAAGGTGAGCGTTTTATATCGTAACAGAGTGTAAAATTCGACACGATATTTCAAGTTCACGTGTGAAGTTATTCAGTAGTACTCTACTAAGAGTAGTAGTGATGTCTGCAACTCTCGTGAGAACTTCAATTTTTAACATATAAAAAACAATGAATGTCAACAATGACAGCAAATAGATAAGCGATCTTTTTATGGCCAAAAGGCCAAGATTTCGAATACCCTTGAGTTATTTCCGAGTATTTTGGAGTTATTTGTAGACGGTAAATACTACACCAAAATGACAATGTATGGTTCTCTGTATGTTTGATACCTGTTATAGTTGTGTCACAACCGGATCTACACTGGTCCTCTGTATGTTTGATACCTGTTATAGTTGTCACAACCGGATCTACACTGGTCCTCTGTATGTTTGATACCTATTATAGTTGTATCGAAACCGGATCTTCACTGGTTCTATGTATGTTTGATACCTGTTATAGTTGTGTCGAAACCGGATCTACACTGGCATTGTTTAACTGTCGGGTGTTTGTTGTCGTTAGTCGGGGCAAATCGTTTTGATAATATCTAGACACACCTCATTGTTAGTGGTGCTTTAACACGATTAATTGTATGGCACATATCAAATTATTACACCAAATTAAAATTCACATGGACTACAATGACCCTTGCATCTCGTGTTAGGTCCTGTAAAATGGAGGTATGAAATACCTATATAGTTGACTTAAATTCATACGGAGGACATTAAAACTCGCTGATAACGAGCAAAATACAAAATGAAATGATCAAATTTGTGTTCAACGAACGGAAAGCATTTACCTTCTTCATTGACATGTATACTTTCAGCTAGGATTTCACAGGGCACCTTTCGTAATGCCAATAATGTTGGAGGAAAACTGGTTAATTTTTTTTCGTGTGACAAATTGGGCTACTACAAAGTTATATTTACTTTCTTTTTGATAACATACCTAAATAGTGGTCAAACAGACATTATACAAAATAGAAGGCAAAATTGATTCGTCGTTAGGATTCGTTTTAATTAAAATTACGCAAATTAAAAATTGCCCTTTGTGTTCAGAAAATATACAAGTATCAAGCAACAAAGACAGTAAATTTCCCAAAAGGAAATTCCTTATCTTCCATATCAATCTTAGCATCATTGTAAAATGTTCATAGCAGCGTCAGTAATGCGTATGGAAAACGCACGTGCTTTACTTGAATTACATTTTAACGTTGATCAGACTTTGTAATAAAAACCTTCATAGCAGTATGTTATTTCTTAACATAATGAAGTCTAGATATGTTCACTTTATTACGTGTACGGAATTCGAAGTCGTACACTGCAACCAAAAAGCAAAGGAGTTTACAGCCACTTTTCCGATTTCAAGGATTTTACATTGTATTACCAAACTCACAAAAAATGACGGAAGGTGAGAGTCGTTAAATTTCAATGACACATTTAATCGCCACTATGTCCAAATTTTACGTAATATTTTTAAAGTGGTAATTCAAAAAATATCTTCAATGAGATAATTTAGGTTTTAACGCGGTAACAGTATGTTAAACGCGTTTCGTGTGAACGCGTTGTTTGACTCCGTTTATGATTGAACACAGTGGGCATCTCTCAACAAAAAAATAGTCCTCTGTAACTCTCCTAGCAAGTGAGAGTGCTGCAGAGAACTGCTCAACCAAATAGTTCTGTGGTGTATCTCGCCCCATCCTGTGACCGCAATGTGCATCCCATGATCAGCTGTCGTCTGCCCGCCTGCTATCGCGAGTGTTTCCCCTATATACCGTCCATGGATTTCCATCTGTTTGTGTTTTTGCTTTCCATTTTCCTTAAAGTTCATTACAATTAACTGTGTTTTAAGTTAAGCCAGCACCTTGATTCCCGGCGAAAATATCGTCATATGAAACTGGACATCTAACGAAGTGATCGATACCACTCCACAGGTAAGTCGAACCTTTACGATCCGTTGTTTGTATAACAGTAAATGTTTAGAAGCAACAATGAAGCGAAATGGGACACACTGGCATTTTGTAGGCCCATTAAACACATTGTAAAAGCCAGCGGTCTACAATAACACAATTTTACACGTGCTGTGAACAGGCTTTTCAACCGAGCAAGTAGTTGTTGTTAAGATTGAAAAGTTGCTGTTGCCAAGACCACCAATTAAAAAAATCCTGTTGTTAGGGATATCAGTTAAAATACGCACTCATGTAGATCATCTTAGGCCTTTTTTGAGCTGATTTTGTTTCCCATTCCCAAATGAAGTTATTTCATATTTAAGCCAAATTCCCAAAATTTACAAGCAACTCCTGAAATTTCCTTCCCACTTCATCAATATTCATCCCAAGATGAGGCATGAATGTCCCATCCAGAATCAGTGAAGATAGATGTTTGGTGGCCGTGTTATCAGTTAAATAAGTTTATGTTGTAAGGGATATGAATTGAATAAGTTACTGTTGTCAGGGATCGATATCATTAGATAAGTTATTGTTGTCATTGTCATCAAATGAATAAGTTACTGTCAATGGGTCATCGATTAAATAAGATTCTGTTGTCAGGGATATCAATTTAATAAACCACTTATCTCCAATTATTCCTACAAAATCAACATGGACAGCTTTCCACCAAGCTGTATGATAAGTGTGAGGATTTTAGTCTCTGTATTGTGAATTTTCCATTTCAGGATAGCAACATCTCTGCATCCTTTGGTGTTTGCATGTCAGTTAATTCAGTATTCTAGGGCCTGTTCTCATTAATGGGATTTTCCTGCAAGGTATGGTCAACTGACAGACACACTATTAACATGGGGTTTCAAAAGGTGCAGGTTGATGAAAACTATGGGAAAGTTGTGTGGTTGCCATAGAGATCTTAATGAGAAATATTCTATTTCTGTGTGTGATATGCAGCCTGATGTATTTGATGCTCATTAGTTTGCTTGTTGGTTCTGTTGTTGTATACCTTGTTCTCATTTGAGAACTTGACATTACGTACTTGGGTTGACCAAAATTTGCATGGTAGGTGTCATTGATGAAGTGGAAATCCAACGCTTACTTTTCCAAAACACCTGGTCAAATCCTCCTTGTGCTTTTTCAGAAGTCTTTATGTAGTTTTAGTGAGTTTGGGTTTTGATTATGATTACGTTGACATGATGGTTTTTTTTATTTTTATGTTAACGTTAGTAACTGATCTCGGGCTCATCAGATGAATTCAGTAAGGTTGTTAATTTGAGAGGTCCTCAGAAATAATAAAAAAAGCTACCCTGGAAATCAAAGCAACAGATGTCGAAACCTTATTTATTGTGGTGAGGGGAATCATGTAATCAAATGCTGAGTATGGCATCATCAATTCAAAAATACATTTGTGGTTTTTGTTGTTGGATATAAGAAATCCTAAAAAGTAAAATTTACCGTGTGTTTTATAGAAGAATAGTTTTTGAGCTGAAATTCATTATAGGGTTTATTAGTTGTTTCAGAATTGGAATTCATATATATTCTTGTATGTATCACATTTCTAAGAAATTAAAATACCAGAGGTTTGATTGTGGAAGATTATGACTAAATTTGTGAATGAAAGTATTACATGGAAAAACTTGGCAATGGTAGCAGCCAGGCTAGAAGTACTGCGATGAGGGTGAAGGCATGTCCTATAAAAATTATATTTGTTAGGAGCGAAGGTGGGGAAAAATCATCAGTCAACTTGGTGTTCTTCCAAATTTTCTGTATAGTATAGGAAATATTATATTACCAACAGGAATCTTGCTCTTAAGTCTCAAACTTTGAACTGATAAAACTTTTTAGCAATGTTAAGATCCTTTTTATGTTCATTGCAAAAATGTAACAACATATTTAAAAAGGAATTACTGTGAAATAATGTCAACAAACAGAATTACTGTGGAATAGTGACAACAAACAGAATTACTGTGGAATAATGTCAACAAACAGAATTACTGTGGAATGATGTCAACAGACAGAATTACTGTGGAATAGTGACAACAAACAGAATTACTGTGGAATAATGTCAACAAACAGAATTACTGTGGAATAGTGACAACAAACAGAA